ATTCTAATGAAACACAGGACTCATAGAAAAATTGACATTTCTTTGTCAAAAAGGAGGAAGAGGTTTAGTAGACATATTTAGGACTCATGATAAATAGGTCAGAAACCTACAGAAATACTTTTTGGTCCAAGCAAACACATTTCACCATGTAGTACATCTTAAATCTATCTGGAAGTGATTTGCCTCCAGGTGAAGCTCGTGAAGAGGCTAATATCTAAGAGTAGATTCAGAAGACCCTCACAGGTGACATCTGCATGACTTCAATCTGAATTTTGTTTTGGGGGGCAGAGATAAGCATATATATATATATATATATATTATATATATATATATATATATAATATATATATATATATATATAGCACCTGCTTATGTTCCAGACCCTGTGCTAAGCAACAGCCCTTAAAGGCAGAGGCTGTTATCATTCCCCTTTTACAGTTGAGGAGACTGAGGCATACAGAAGTTGAGTGGCTTGATTGGGGTCACACAGCTAGGAAACGTCTGAGGCCAGATTCCAACTCAAGACTTCCTGACTCCAGGCCCACCTGGCTGCCTCTTAAAGAAGCTGAGTCGTGCAGGTTTGTTGGTGGAAATGGAAGGGTTTGTGATAGTGGCAATTCAGGACGAGATCCTTGCTACCATAAATTATGGAAGGATTATCTCAGACTTGATGTTCAATGTCAATTATATAAGGAGACAGTAAAAACTGTACAACATATCGCTGCAGGCTGTAAACATTTAGCATATACCAAATCCCTTGCAGATCATGACCTGATGGCTAGAATCATCCATGTCAGAAGCTCAATTCTCTTTCACGGGCTGGCTCACGACAATCCCCACTCCACATATTTAGGTTTCAGAGTATCGTGGAGAACACCAACAATAAAATGGCCAGGAATCAGGGCATAATCACAGACCAAAATGTTCCCCCCAATAACCCTAACATAACAGCAGCCATAAAAACTTAAGAACATTTGTAACAGATGTTTTCACGTTGCCACATACTCATAACTCCAAGCCACGTGTATGTGAAAAAATTTCAAAATATAATAGAGACCTGGCAGAGGGGATGAAAATGAAGTGGGGACGGGCTAAAGATACATCTCCTTCCTGCTGTCTGCTGTGTGTGCTACTGGAGCCATCCCAAGGAGGCTTTCAGTGAGCCTGGGGAAGATGAATACATATCCTAACACTTTTATTCCACTACAGACAGTTCTTTTATCCACATGTGCATTATAGAACATTAAATTTAAAAGATTAATGGGGTAGCAATGTAGTAATAATTCAGTGAGGTGATAAACATACACTAAATACCTTGTATGTACCAGGCACTCTGCTAAGGAATCGGGGTACAGAAGAAGGCAGGCCCTCCTGGTCTGATGGGACAGACAACATGCAAACAACTCTGCACAGACAAGCTGTATTTGGCATAAATCAGAGATAATCGACAACAGGAAGACACCAGAGTCAAGTGGGGAACAGCTTCCTGTGGAAGATGGGGTTGTAGCTGGGTGTTGAAGGAAGCCATGAGGGAGAGCACTGCAGGCATGCAGAAAACGCCCAGAGTCAGGAGAACACAGTGTCTCATTCTAGGAATAGCAAGAAGACCAGCGTTGCTGGGTTTCAAAGTACTTGGCAGGGCGGGGGTGTAAGGCATAAGAAGACTGCAGAGATTGGGGGCTGGGCATATGCTATGAAGAACTTCATTTTGGGCTTGGAGGTGATAGGGAGCTACTGGGATTTGTTGAGGAGGGAAGTGACATGGTCACACCCGCCAGTGAAATCATAGCAGCTGAGTAGAGAATGGACTGGATTGGATTTATACAGCCCTTGAAAGGGCTTTCTTGATTACCCTCATCTCCCTCTTACAGATGAGTGCTCTGGGACTCTGCCCATAGTCCTCAGGCAGGGACCTGTCCTAGCAAGAGCATTGAACCAGGCCTTGGCTTGGTCCTTTACTGGTGATTGACCTTGAACACTTAACTACCCCGAGCCTATTTCGTTATCTGTAAAATGGGGATAATGTTGGTTTATTTTTCAGACTGCCACCATCACCCACCATTCAGCTTTAGTTGTGATAATACCTTATACCTTTGGGCTTTCTTCTTTTGGATCTTATCTGATGGGAAGGAAAGAGGGTACCCTTGATAGGGAGTGGGCCCACGGAGGTTGGCCACGTGAGTAGGATGATTAGGAATCACTCAAACATTTGCTAAGCCTAGAGATACAAAAAGAAGCAAAAGGCAGTTACTGCCTTCTAGGAGCCGACAGTCTAACAGGAGAGACAATATGAAAACAGATGTATACAAAGCGAGCTGTATACAAGATAAAATAGGAGATAATTAAGAGAGGGGTTAGGTGATGCAGTAGATAGTTTCAGGCCTGAAGAACAGAAGGTTCTTCTGAGTTTGAATATGGCCTTAGGCACTAGCTTTGTGACCCTGGGCAAGTCACTTAACTGTGTTTGCCTCAGTTTCCTCAAGTGTAAAATGAGCAGGAGAAGGAAATGGCAAACCACTCTAGTGTCTTTGGCAAGAAAACCCCAAATGAGGTCACGAGGAGTTGGGCACGACTGAAATGATTGAACGACAAAGGGAAGGTTTCCTGTGGAAAGTAGGATTTTGGTTGGGACTGAAAGGCATAGGCTGCTATTAACATAGCTTTTAGGAACTCTACCATTTGAGTCTTCGTGACCCCACCACCACCACCATCTTAACCCTAATTTGAGAAATGTCATTAAGTGATAGCAGTGACAGTATAGACTTTGTTACCATGGTGTGGTAGGCGGGTTGACCCTGCAAAGAATCACCCAGTGAATCCTTTTTCTTCTCTTCCTTTCCACTGGCATGGTTCTCCTTCATCTGTTGCACTGTCTTTTCCAGGGGTATGTTTTTTGCCCAGACTCCTGAGCAGCCCTGATGATATAAGCTAAACCCTCAAGTTACTTGGCTTTCATTATGGCTGCAGCCTCCAGGGCACTTGGCATTATTTGGATTTGATTTCTGTGCTGAGCTATGCATGAGTTTTCAGAATTCACTGCCATAATTTTCTTCAGCTCGCACAGGGGTGATGATTCTGCCTCTTCATTCCCCAGGGTCTCACTCGTTCTTACATCAGAGAACCCAGACTATCTATAACCAACAACACATTCAGAGTAAACACCACACTCCTCCTTCATCAGGTAGATAACTCTTGAAAATCTAAACAGATTGTTGAAAATTTTTCCTTTAGTTTATTTTAGGCCATGGGCCTATTTTAAGTATATCCTTTAATAGCTGCAACTTACTTCTTTTCTCCCTCTAATAGAAGGAAACTGCATTCATATGTGTACATTCCTAATCACACATGGGCACTGAAAAGTCTATCAAAGAGACCCTAGGTTAAATTTCTCCTGTGTATCAGTAGGTAGTCTGCCCAGTTCTTGGCAAGCCCAAGGTAGATCTTGGAAGGCTGTCCTGAAGTGAATTTGAGAAGTTCCATTCACAAATAATGTTGCCCAACAAAAGTTTGGGGTCTTCATTGAACTGTGGATTGAAGGGTCTTTTAGAAGCTTATCTGGCTTTGTACTCACATTGATCCCTTGAAAGAAGCACCCACTCACGGGAGTCCCTTGTCCACCTTCCACATCTCACAACAGACATGAAGGGCCAAAGGGCAAATCCCACATCAAAGGAGTTGACTCAGGCAGTGAAAAGTCCACTAGATGGGTCCGCAAGCTTTCCTGTCTGTCTTTTCTTTAGCCTAGTAGTTAAACCATTTCATTTTTTACCCAAAACTTAATTGAATTTTTAAGATTCTGAATTTTAAAATGCCTAAAAATGAGCATTTCCTTACAAACAACAGAGCACAAAAAGGGAATTGCGTTTGAAACAGTGACTCTCCATTTCATACGTCTTGCTTTTTAAATACACATGTATATGATTAATCCCACACGTTACTTTCAAAACTGGCCTGCTTGTCTGTGTTTCCTTTTGAACCTCCATTTATGTGGGGGGTATTTTAAAGTGTTTCAATGGCCCTCTTTTTGTTTTTTTTTTGGGGGGGGCATCCACATTCTCTATCCCTCATTTAAAACCAAGAGGAAAAAAAAAAACTAAAAAATAAGATGGGCCAATAAAAATTAACCGGCAGTGGCCGTATCCAAAAATGTTATGTATCTTTCTGCTCCTCAAGTGCATCACCTCTCTATGAGAAGATAGGTAACACTCTTCATCTTAGCTCAGCCAGAGACCTACTTGGTCATTGTATTGATCAGTGCCTTCAAGTCTTTCCCGGTGGTTTTTCTTTACATTATTGTTATCCTTGTATAAGCTGGTCTCTTGGCTCTGCAAGAGTTTATTTTCCAAGAGGCTCTTAAATCTCTTTGTGTCTTGTGGTATGATAATATTCCATTACATTCACATACTGGAACTGCTTCAGCCACTCCACAGTTGATGGGCATCCTCATTCTTTTCCTTGACCCTTCCCCCCTTCCAATCCCCACTTCAGGATCAGAAAGTTTGTTTTTCTTTTAACAGTTCTCTCCCTGGTATTATTATCTTCCCTCTTCAAACCTCCCAGGGCCTCTTTCCCTGATGAGGTTGATTTATTTGTAGACTAAACTATTTGTATGCATGTAGTTAAACCACTTTCTAGAAGTTGACAACTCATAATAACTCTGTTTATTCAATTATTAATTTCCTAATATATTAGTAATTATAATAATTAGTTATTTATTTAATTGATTAGTAATTATAATAATTATTTATTATTTATTTAATTGATTAATAATTAATAATTATAATAATTCCTTTATAGTCAGGGTTTTGAGAAACTAAATATCCATAGGGGTTATGGGGTTATGTGACTAGCTTAAGGGGACATAAGCACTTGCTGTTTGCACTGCTGCTCCTGCCCCTGCCATCCCTGCTCAGGACTTTCCCCCCAGACCCTGCTGCCATCCTGATGATGGTGTTTCCACTGATATTACTCACAAGGTGACTTTGCTCATTTTTTGGCAGCTGACCAAGAATGGCACTGTGGAGTCGGTGGAGGCTGATGGCCTGACACTAGACGATGTGTCAGATGAGGACATTGATGTGGAGAATGTAGAAGTGGATGATTACTTCTTCCTGCAACCTCTGCCCACCAAGAGGCGCCGGGCCCTGCTGCGGGCCTCTGGTGTCCACCGCATTGATGCCGAGGAGAAGCAAGAGCTTCGGGCCATCCGACTTTCCCGGGAGGAGTGTGGCTGTGACTGCCGGCTGTACTGTGACCCAGAGGCGTGTGCCTGTAGCCAAGCTGGGATCAAGTGCCAGGTCAGTGTGGGACTGAAGGTGGCGGTTGGGGGTGGCATCTGCAGCACAGTCGAATTGCTCTTGAATGTGGATAGATCCATTCGCCTAAAAATGATAGCTGTCTCCTAAGGCCTGAAGCTCTCCAAAGAAGAAGCAAGCTTTGAATGATGACTAGGTCTCCTGGATGTTTTACCCATTTGAGGTGACAGTAGCAGATGAGGAAGTAACAATGTCTAGCGTACATTGGGTGCTCAGATATTATTGGCTTCTGAAAAGAGGGAAGCTTAGGAAAAGTTGGGCTGGGATGCTGATGCAGATACTTTTTTCCCTCCATGATTATTGCTGAACACCTGGAGATTATGGTCATAGAAGCACTATCCTGGGGCAGCGAGGTAGCACAGTGGATAGAGCACTGGTCCTGGAGTCAGGAAGACCTGAGCTCAAATCCGGCTCAGACACTTAATAGCTGTGTGACTCTGGGCAAGTCACTGAACCCTGATTACCTCCAAAAAGAAGAAACACTATCCTTCCTGTAAAATAAGAGCAGAAGAAGTGTGTGTTCTGGCTACAAGAGCCAGGAAGACCTTTCTGAATCTCAGGTTCTTCATCTATAAAATGGGGATAATCATGCCTGTAGTGCCTGGTTACAGAGCTGTTTTGAGGATCAGATGAGGTGATGTCTAAAGAACTCCAGAGACCTTAGAGCCTGTCTGTGGTGGCAGCCTGTCATCGTGGGGAGGAGACATGGCTTCCAGGCCCCCTCTTGACCATTCTGGCGGCAGGGGTGATGCTGGGGGGGGGGTCCCTTAACCTCTTGGGGCTCCAGGCAGCTAAGACTAGAGGTGACAGCACTTGCAGACCTGCATTGGGAGGCTAAAGTTTCTTTAGCTCTGCAAATGAAATCACAGGTTCAGCAACACCTCCCCACCCACCCCCCCAAAAAAATCTTCCTGACGCCAGCTTTTGTAGTTAGATGACAGAGGGGAGACAGGTGGCATCTTCCTTCGGGGCAGAATGCTTTTGGCTTGAAATGACCATTTCTTACCTTGTTGCAAAAAAATAGGTGGACATATCTTTGCAGAATCTTGAGTCACACCCCATTCTTTGTGACCCCATTCAGGGCTTTCTTGGCACAGGTACTGCAGTGGTTTGCCGTTTCCTTCTCCAACTAATTTTACAGATGAGGAAACTGAGGCAAACAGGGTGACGTGACTTGCCCAAGGTTACATGGCTAGTGTGTCTGAGGCCAGGTTTGATATTCCTGACTCCAGGCCCAGTGCTTTATCCACTGTGCCACTTAGCTGCTCCACACAATTATCTTAGTCAGTAAAATGAATTGAATTAATCTTCCTAGCTAATTCCTTCCTGTGTCTTTTTTTGAAGCTATGGGTCTCATCTTTTCCCCTGTCCCTTCTTTTCCTTTCTCCTTAATTCCCCCCACTCCTCACAAGGTGGATCGCATGTCCTTTCCATGTGGCTGTTCCCGAGATGGTTGTGGAAACATGGTGGGGCGTATTGAGTTTAATCCAATCCGGGTGCGGACTCATTACCTCCACACTATCATGAAACTGGAGCTGGAGAACAAGCGACAGGGGAGCCGTCCATCAGCCGCGGAAGAGGAGCTACCCTCAGCCTCCGGGGGTGGCCTGCCAGGCACTCAAGACTCAGAGACGCAGGACTTTCAGGAATTCATCGCTGAAAACGAGACTGCTGTGATGCACCTGCAGAGCGCCGAGGAGCTGGAGAGGCTCAAAGCAGAAGACTCCAATGGCTCCAGTGCCAGCCTGGACTCTAGCATCGAGAGCCTAGGTGTGTGCATCCTAGAGGAGCCCCTTTCAGCTCCTGAAGAGCTGTGCCCAGGCCTTACTGCCCCCATCCTCATCCAAGCCCAGCTTCCGCCAGGCTCATCAGTCTTATGCTTCGCTGGGAACTCCGAGCACTCAGCTGCCCCGATGCTGAATGAACCCTCTTACTTGAACAATGGCCCTGTGGTCTATTACCAGGTGGAGCAAAGGTCAGTCTTGGGAATGAAGGAGGAACCTGATTCAGAAGCATCTGAAATTCCCCCTTCATTTCCCATAGAAAAGGATTTGAGTGTCTTTTCTCTCCCTGCTACCTCATTGGTGGCCTGTAGCCCCACAGACCCAGCTGCCCTCTGTAAACCAGAGGTGGGGAAAACGCCCACTTCAGAATCCTTACTGCCAGAAAGCTGTAACCCTGAAGGGCCTGAATGTGATGATTTCCACCCTACCTGGTCCCCACCAAACCTTCCATTCCGCACAGACAGTGAGGAAGGCTGTGGGGTAGAACAGGCCTCAGGTGGGGTCTGTGATCAGGATCAGCCTCCTAAGGACTCATCTCTGGCACTGCCTCTGCCAGTGTGACCTGAGGGACACTGTCCCTCTCCCAATCTCTATTTATTCACTTATTTTATCTAATACTATTTTAAAACAAAACCGAAAGAAGCCACTGCTGCTCCCAAGTTATTTTGTTGGAGTCTGTGGAGAATGGCGGGTGGAGAGGATATGTGGGGGTGGGGGGTGGGAGATGGTGTTTGTACAGATATTTTAAAAGACAGACACAAGGAGACCACACTCCAGCTTTTGATCCCTTGAAGGGTCTTGGTGCACAGGGGACTGTGTTGTCTTAAAACTTTTGAGATTTATGGGCCATTGGAAGGAAGAGGCAGAGATCTCGCAGGAAGGACTGGGTGACTCAAGCCATTCTTTCTGAGGGGACCAGAATATGTGAATCTTTGAACAGCATGGCACATAAAGTGTCCCTTCCCTTAAATTTCCCTTCCTCCTAAGGGGCCAGATAAAAGTTCATTTCCATCCATTATTGGTCCAACACTTCTTATAGAGGAGTCTGATACTTCTGATTTGAATGTCTCGTGGTTCCCCATTCCAAGAGAGGAAAAGGCCAGAATAGACTTTCTGCTATAGAAACCTCAGTGATTTATAGAAACAGCCCACCCTCCCTTTTGGCTAACAGGTTAATCTTTGAAACGTTGACATTCTGACCTACTTCCTGGTTGAGATCCCTGGACCATCACTTGAATTATTTTTCCTGTAGGTCCTACAGGGGAGCTTATGTTGGGGCTTTTCTGTCAGTGCCCCACCCTTGTGGACCTTCTTCCTCTTTGTCTGACACACACATAACTCTGCCAGGAGGCATTAGGTTAGGTCTTTCTCACTGGGGCAGCAGGCCCAAGCATTTGGGCTCTCTTTGCATTCTTGGGGAACAATGCCTGAATTTGTGTGATGCCTGTTTTCCCAATCAGGATTTTCTTTGGGGAATCTGGTGTGGTTAGTGGGGCGTAGAATGTGGCCAGCAAGGTCTACAGTTAAAAGTTTCTGTTCCCCTTTTTCTATGATTATAACACCAGCCCTTCTTGGGACAAGGGATCAAGGAAGAGGAAGGCCTTTACACTCCAGTCCACTCTAGGAATTGCATTGCAAATGTCCACTGGGTCCCTTAAGCTTAGATGATACTTTTAGTTCTTCTTAAAAGCAAAAGAACGAGCCAGTTGTGAGGTGATATGTTGTGAGATCTCAAATGCTAACAGTTCTAGATTTGAAAAGATTTTGTAGAGTAAGATTAAGATGCAGCCCCTTGCCAAAGCAGAGGATGAAAAGGCTATTTCTGTCTCTTGTGCTCTAAGACCTTGCTCCTTAGACTACCAATGAATCCTCCTTATAAGTAATGATTACCTCTTTTCTTAAAGAGGAAGAAATAAAAACACTACTTTGGTCTCTGTTATCCCCAGCTGCCCCAATGTGGTTAGCAAAAAGTAAAGAAAAACATGAAGAACCTGTGCTACACACGAGTTTTGTCTGCCTGCCTTCTTTCAGAGGCTGGTGGTTTAAATGTAATGTTTATCTACAGCATTTCAGCTATGACCTGTTACTTTGGCTGTTAACTGAGTCTGAAGCACTTGTATTTAATAATTATGCTCATTTCAGCCCATTCTGCAGTTTCCTACATTCTTAATTTTTCCTGCCTTGTCTAACCAAGTATGGCATTCCTTCCCTGAAATACTGTTTCATGACTTGGTGCATTTTCCCCTAATAAAGAGTTAGACCCACTAGTCAACCTTGAGCTACCTTTACCTGGTGCCATCAATTTACAGGGACTGGGTTACAAGTACACTTCCTTCTCCAGACAAGAAAGGATCATTCTGTAATTTCCAGTACCAGGTCAGGAGGGATGGATGCTGGATCTGGAAAACGTTTTTCCTTCAGAGGTAGTCCAGTCCCCATTGTACCCCAGAGCTTCTGTCTGGAAAATTACTTCTTCATGCAGTACCACTTTTTTTCTCTAAACAAACAAAATCCTGTATTCCTTAAACACATTGGCCCTTCCCTTTTGATGGCTAAATTAACTGTCTTGCTGAGCAGTGAGCCTTGTCTACCAACCAGCCCATCTTGTTTCTGGTGCTACTTGAATTGAACAGAACAGCTGTGGCTCATGGTTGCTAGGCAGCTAGGTCACTCACTGACTGCAAAAGCAGATGGCTTCCTCTCTGCTCTGTCTTTACCAATTTTGAAGAAGTGACTTTACAACCCCCCAATGATTCTTTTCAAATTTTCCCACTGTATGCAGGTAGTATTTTCAATGTGAATCCAAAGCAGCTTGTCGGGTTCTTTGCATTTGGGGGTGGGGGAAGGGTTGAAAAAGGGAGGAGGGAGAACTTTTAGGTTCTTTACATTGTGATAATGCTGTATTTAAAGAAAATATTTAAATGTAAAATTAAACAAATGCTCAAAAGACTGGTGTGTGATGCTTTTCCCTGAGAAAATTAAACTGTTATTTTCTATGGGGAAAGGAACACCTTTCCTGAAGCTGTCTGTGTAAAATTATACATTAGAATTAAGAGTTAATGTCAAGACCAGCAGTATCATACAAGGGAAAAATCCTTTATTCTGTTAGATCATTAATTTACTATTGTCTGCCCTCTTATTTAACGCGTTATCTTATCCTTTCCGCTTCAGCTTAGTTCACCAAGTTACTGGGCCTCACTTTGTTTCCTTTTTTGGGGTCTTTGTCCAGCCACCCCTTGTTTTCCATACCGAGGTCTACAGATGTATACAGAAAACCCCTCTATCTACAATCAGGACCCTGAGAAGTATTTTGTTTTAAAAAAACAAACATTTTAGTCTAGCTCTTTTTCCATAATTTTATCTTAATCATGGAACTTACAGCAAGGCAGTCTCTGTTATAAAATGATTAGCACATTTAAGTAATTTGTAGCCATTAGTTTAATTAAATCTTTACTTGTGGCTGAACACGTCGGTTCATGCGTTTATAGTAACTTACAAGTCACTGACATGTACAAATACAAAACTAAACCCAATTCACGGTACCTTGGGTGCAGTCCTTCCCATGGATGGATTCACCGAGCCAGGCACTAACTGGTATTTTCCTGGTGTTATCCATGGCCCAAACACCGCAGCCACTGTGACAGTAACAGGTGGGGATCAACAACACAGTGGCAGGAGCCAGGCATCTTAAGATCCACAGGGGCTATAGCCCAGAAATTAAGACAAGGCAGGTGAAAGCGTAAACGTGTGAGGGAGGAGGGCAAAACAGGGGAGATGTTCTCTTCCAAAGGAAAATACTTCCCTTTTTCTTGACAGGACATCGATAAGTTAGAAAGGAGTTATCAAGGAAAAAGTGTTTTTCTGTGGCAGCTTTAGAAAGGGACAGAAGAACATTCTGGGGCATAAGTGCTTAAGTTTAAGTAGCTTTGTTTCCTGTCCAGTCCAAGCATTTAGTTCAGTGGAAAACCAGCCAGAAAGAACACAGCAGCAGATAGGGCCACTGCCACATAATACTGATCACGTGGGGATGGACCCCATAGGACTCAACCATGTGAATGGAGCTTTCAGTTCTAGCTGGAAGGGACACAATAATGCTTCCTTCCGCTTTGGGTGCCACACTGCCAGGCCTGCAGCGTTCACTCCTCTCTGTGGGTCTGTGGCTCGTGGGTGCTGTGTGGTCCCAGGCTGCATCTCCAGAAAGGATAGAGGACGGTCTCGTCCTTTCTAGAAGCTCCCTCAATGCCTTGTCCCAGGGTGGTTGGTGGAAAGTAGGACCACAGCATGCAGCAAGAGGGACATCTCAGCATCTGAAAACACCAGTGTTAATCCTACAAAAAGTAGAGGCCCTGACCCCAAGGCCCACAGCTTCCCAGGGTGTAGAGGGAAAAGGATATGAGGTCTGTTGATGGATATAAACTGACGTCAGAGACCAGGAATAGGGTGACAAGTACCAGGGGTTGGAAATCAAAAGATTTCCCAGGAGTTCCACCCACTCTTATTCTAGAGTTTCCTACCCATGTACGTGTCTTCTTTCCATTCAACCCTCAATCTCTTCATCTAATATAAGTAGAAGTTTTAGTGAAATTAATGTGGTATTAAATATTCACCTCTTGCGATTCTGCTGGCTCCTGAACCCAGCAGCTGATTCTAGGGACATTTCCCATCTAGCAAGGAAGATTCTTCAGTTTACCAACCACCCAACACTCAAAGGCCAAGAAAGTAACTGGACCTGAGCTCCTGTGGGACATTCAGAGCTCCAGAAGTCCCCAGCAGACCCCAAGTTAGAGAAGTAGAGATCATAGCACTCAGAACAGAGTAAATACAGGGACTTAAATCTTACTTTTGAGGCTACAGGAAAACTGTAGCCATTCTTCTAGCCAAATTCGACACCAGTCTTCAGTAAGGTGGGTGGAATTCAGGCCACGGAGATAACAAGCCTAAACATACCCAAAGAAGAGTTTCTCAGTAGTCATAGAGACAGAGAAAGCTTGGATAATGGAAATGGGTGATCAATCTAAGAACCTCCTTTTAGCAAGTTAGAATTTCCCTACAACACACCTTTTACCAGAGCAATTTAATCTGGTTTGAGTTTCTCACATGCCGGTAGAGAAGCCAATGATCAGGGAAAAGCTGGTAAGAGGGAAAACAAAGGAATATCTAAGCCCTGGGTAGTATATTGTCTTTAGTTTTGGACTTCCAGAGGGGGAAAATAAATGCACTCAAAATACCGTGTCCAGTTTCTACACATAGTCACTAAGAAGCTGAATGAATTAACAAAAGGTTGTAGGAGGGAGAAGAATAAGGAGTGAAGGACTACTCAAGCATCGTTGTGATCACAGAGCTCCCCACTGGCTTAGGGTTATCACTAAAACCAAGCTCTCACCGATTTTACTTCGTGAGCAGTCAGCTGGCCAATCCCCAGTCTTTTCAAAGCTTTGTCTAGCTGGTGAAGCACAGTGGTGTGTTTATTCAGACGGTATCTCAGCAAAACAGAGGGTAGGTGAGGTGTGAGAAGCATGGCCCGGCTCAAGGCTTTCTGTGACATGGCAGCACACAAGGACAGGGTTCACATATCATTCTACCAATTAGGAAGGGAGGCTCAAGGTCAGTAGGGGCTGGGAGGGAAGAAGAAGACCCAAAGGGCTTACCATGTGCGGAATAGAAAGATGACCTATGTCCAGGGGATAGACAGAAAAACAGTTCTTCAAAAGCAGTAGATCATTTATACCTGGGTGAGCACCATTCTGAACCTTGCAAAAAGCAAGAGATTGGTGAGGGTTAAATGCTGACATTGTACCCAGGAAGAGAGAAATGGGACCCTCAGTGACATCCCTCCATCTGGCACCACCATAAATCTGCTGTTTACCAGTTGGTTCCAGGGATATTCTGGGAGTTTGTTCCTAGTAAAGGCGAACCTGGAGGGTACCTTGGTGCACAGCTGTGTAAAATGCCACCGGAGAGCCGTATTTGAGATCAAAGGGATGGCCCTTTCCAAGCAGTTGAGGATCTTTGGATGGGACTGTTTGCGTTGAGAATGGTAGACGTCCAAGAATTCCAGCTGCTGCTTTGAGGTCCAAAAATGCTGGATCAGCAGTTGCCGGGGGTACAAGTACCTAAAGGAAAAAGCATTTGTCAGTATCAGCTCATCAGAAACTAAAGCTTTCAGAAGACATTGATGTTAGGAAAAGGAGGATAAACTTCCTTTCCTCAACTGTTCTCTTCTAGGTGAGTTTCTTGACTAGGAATAATAAGGAATAAAAAATACATTGAAGTAAAATCTCAAGAACAGTAGACTACTAGCCCGACAAGCAGCAAACAAATGGAGTGGATTTTTTTGAACCAACATGAAAAACATGAGTCAGAGTTACAAATGCTAACAGCCTTTAGAACTATGACTGTACACATAGCGGGAAACAACTGCTGGTTGTGCTTCAGTTTTGAATTATTCATCCCTATGTATGTTCTTCATCATTAACAATGGCATCTGATGAAACTGGACGATGATAAAATAAATCTGCCAAAATATGTAAAGCACAGTGTTTTTCCAGAGGAAAATGGCCCCACCTTGCACTGCCCCTTTATGATTGGATTGCTGCCTCCAGAACAGAGTCAAGCGGCTGGCCCACCCCATCCAACCCCAATGGTCCTGTTCCTTCAGGGGCCAGCTGAAGAGCTGAGGGGGCCTTCAGGAGGAATGAAATCTGAAGTGGCTACTTGGATAAGATCCACCAAGGTTCAAAAATAAAATGCTTTTAAAAGTTTTTCATTAGGAAATTGTGGTGTTATGTGAAGCAGCAGGGAAAGAGCACTGGATTTAGTCAGAGGTTATGGCCACTTACTACCTAGATGAACTTGGGTAAATCTTCTTTGGGCCTCAGTGACCTCATCTATATGAGGGCGGAAGGGAGGTTTTGCACTAGACATGGTATCTCAGGTCCCTTCCCAGTAGTAAACTTATCATCCTATGATCTCTAAAAATGCTAAAGCTTAGAAACCTGAAGTCTATACTCACATCAGCAAGAAGACCAGGTAGTTGGCAAAGGGTGGGATGGAAATGATGCCCAGGAAAAGACACTTGGCCACATCTCGTCGAAACTGAGCAGAAAGTAAACATAGCTGCTATTTCAGCTTAGGAAGTGCCTTCCTACAATGGACCTCCCCCATCCCACTGAAGAATGGGCTCCTCTCACTTCCCAGCCTTCTTAAACCATCTCAGTGGATGCTCCTCATCTTTTGCTTCAAGGCTATTCACTAGTTTACTCCTACAGGTATCTCGCTTTGCTTGTATGTTCAGCAACCCATTTGGATTTTAATGTTTATTTTTTAAATACCGAAGTCCCTTCTATAAAGAAAGGTTCCTAAAGCTCCAAGGAGATTTGCTCTGGAAAAAAAAACCCGACTCTGACTCAGTCCATACCTATGGAACACCCTCATCTGAACGGGAATGACAAACTTTTGGTTTCATAGCCAGCAACATGAATGAAACAGAAAAGAAATCATCGGTTTTGTTCCTCAAAGAAAACTGTCGAATATGTTTCCCCCATGCAGCATGATTCTTCAGCCCCTACCTGTCGCAAATGTTCCATGTCCCGGTATGAAAGCTGATGAAACATTAATTTTTTCTGGGTCATAAATGTCTTTATTCTTCTAGCCTTTTTTGCATCAGCCAAAAGCATCTGAAATCCTGCCTCATTAAAAAAAAAAAAAGCACAGAGCATGAGGTTAAATCCAAATTGGAACCCTATCAGCCCCCTACTTTATATATCGATTTACCTTTAGTCACCCTATTCATCCCATATCCAAAAACCAAATATTTATTAATTTTTTTTGGGGGGGGGGCTAGGCAATGGGGTTAAATGACTTGCTCAGGGTCACACAGCTACTGAGTGTTATGTCTGAGGCCAAATTCGAACTCAGGTCCTCCTGACTCCCAGGCCAGTGCTCTATCCACTGAGCCACCTAGCTGCCCCTTAAATATTTTTTAAGGCCCATCTAGGGACAGCTAGGTGGCACAGTAGATAGAGCACCAGGCCTGGAGTCAGGAGACCCTGAGTTCAAATCCAGCCTCAGACCCAGACACTTGACACTTACTAGCTGTGTAACCCTAGGCAAGTCACTTAACACCGACTATCTCACCAAAAAGTAAAAAAAAAAAAAGACTGCTTTAAATCTCTGCTCTAATTCTTTACTTTCCACCAGCAAATCTCCTCCTTTCCAGTCACACTAAACGTGTGACTTGTGCACCTTGTCTTGGGATAGCTTCCTGACCTTTTGTCTAATAAACTATACATGTTTTATTTTAAATCATGACCCATGACCACCACCGCTGCCCCCACAAGCCTTCATAAATTAACTATTTTTCCAATACCAGAGTCTCTGACTCCCCTCTCCAGCAGTCATAGGCTTCTGTTGACTATGCCTAGATTGTTTCTTGATGTGCTTTACTAAAGGCAAGCATGGTGCTGAGCACCTTGAGTACTAAATTACTTGTGGACCAGCTTCGGATCCCAGAGGAAGTTGGACAAGAAGACATCTGTGTTCTGTCAGGAGACAAATCACAGAGCTGCCTTTTTTAAGGTGCTGAAGAATCCCATTCCATATATTACAGGGAGTCTGATACACTCAGTTGTGTGGCCAGGAAAGGGAATTTCAAAAGTGGGAAGACACCATGCCCACTTCTGTTGTTACGAGTGGTTTTCCATTTTACCACCAATATGTTCTGTGTCTGGGTACCTCTGGTCCCTGGAAGGGAGGTCTTCCTCAGGAAGCATGACTTTTGCTCAGCAGACTTTGCTGTTGGACTGACTGCATCCCGGCTCTTACTTCCAGGATTCAACCTGTAGCTGATCTTATTCGTTCTTACCCTTTGCCGTGGCCTAAGAGCTGGCCCCGGCGACTTCCATTCTTGCCTTGTTTTTACCTTTCCTGAAGACTGAATACACGACATAGAATCGGGGAAAGCGACGCTCCAAGAAGCGATTATATTTCTCATTAACCACCTTTGTCTTGGCCACAAAAGAAGAGACAATGCTCTTCAAATCTACCTTTGGGGAGAGGTGAAGCCTGGAAGGTCTGCAGGGGGAGAGATCACAGACCACTTTTAGCCACCTGGGTCCTAGGCTCTACTTGGCTTTCCTCCAGAAGTCTGGTCCCTGCTAGACCCCAGACCCAGGAGAAGGGAGGTCAAAGCCCAGGGGAAGCAAAAAGCTAAGGAAGAGGCAAGGAAGGTTCTGATTAGATCGGGAAGGGCGGAATCCGAGGGTGGAGGAGAGAACCAAAGGAAGAGGAAGGAAGGAGAGCGGTCCGGGTGGGGGTCCCTGGGTGCAGGCGGTGCGCTAGGGAGGACCCCCCGCTGTTAGGGAGGCTGCGGGAGGGGAGGGCGCTGACCACCCGGGGCGAACGTGGCCCGGGAACGACGCTGGCGGGGCTGGGAGGACCTGAGCTCGGGCAAAGGAGAAAGGTCTCCGGGCATTGGGGATGAAGGGAAAGTCCGGGCACTGCCCGACGCTGGGCCTGGAGTGACAGGACCGGGACCCGACGCCCCTCAAGTCCCTCACCTAGGAGGACCCCAGGCTGGGCTCCGGCGCCCAGGCTGCAGCCGCAGAGAGAAGAGGGGTCCCGGGAGAGCGGCCGCACCGCCCAGAGAGACGCATCTCCAGTAGACCCTGGACAGCGCCATCTTGACACAGCGGGAGGGACAAAAGAGGCCGTCGTGGGGTCAAAGTTCACTGAGAGGTCGCGAGTCTATTTGCGCACGCGCCTCCTGTGAAAGAGGATTGGTGCCCCCTGTCCTCCGGCGCTTGGCCGGAGGGAGGGTCCAAGGAGGGGAGCTCGGAAAACCTAGAGCATCGAGCGAGTCAGGGCGGGGTCTCGTTGGGGGTGCCCCGGGCCAGGAAGGAGTAGCCTTCCGGAAGTGCTACCGCGTTTCCGCCGGCAGGAGCGCAAGCGCAATGGCCGACCTTGAGGTCTCTGGTGCTCCCTGAGGACAGCCCCTTTGGACGCCGCCCGGTTCCAACATGGCAGCTGCCAGTAACTCGGGGCCCGGGGCGCTCCCTGGCGGCCCCTAGCGGACTCACTAGACTCTGCATGGAGATGAGGGGCTGGAGGCGTCGCCGGCCTATGTCGCTGCGGCATACTCACCCCCAATCGGAGGCCGCGACCCTGGCTTGTGATAGACCTTGGATAGAGCGCTGGGCTTGGAGTTAGGAAGACCTGAATTCAAATCCAGCCTCAGACACTTCCTAGCTGTGGGACTCTGGGCAAGCCACTTAAACCTCAGTTTACCTTGGTTTCCCCATCTGTAAAATGGGGATAATACCAGCACCTATTTTCCAGGATTGTTATGAAGCTAAATCTTGATAATATTTGTAAGGTGCTTTATAAATATTTCTTTCTTCCCTTGAAAAAGTCCCTATGTCACTTTAGGCCTCAGTTTCCCCCACTGTACAATGAACAGGAAGAAGATAGATTAGACCAGTTAACCTGGGCCCCATAAACTTTTTTTTAATATTTTGATTATTATTTCAATAAAATTGGTTTCCTTTGTGATCCTATGTCAGCCAGTAAACATGCATTTTACACATTTCACATCTTTCAGAGAAAGGGCTTCTGTAGCACACCCAAAGGGGTCCAGGACGCAAGCAAAGTTAACAAACCCCTGAACTGGAAGATTTCCAAGGTCCCTTTCTAATGCTATCGTTTTGTAATTCATTTTTTTCAGAGCACATAATGTTTGTCCCACACATAACAGGGACCTGTGATTTCACTGGTATAGTGAACTCCCAGGTGAGTAGCTCACTCTACCAATGCAGATCAGCACCTTCTGACCTAGAGCACTGAGAGGCTAAGGGGGGACCCAGGGTCACACAAGCAAGATCTGACAAAGGCAGGACTTAGTCACTTGGAGGCTGATTCTCTGTACGTCATGAGCCGTTTGCCTCTCTGAGTTTGAGAATGACCCCTAATTTGGAGATGACCCCTGCCTGTCGTTCTTCGTCCTTCCTCCTCGAAGAGGACCATGACATCAGGAAAGTGATACCTTGACTTGCGAGTGAATTGGATTTAAGTGAGGGAAGGCTGTGCAAAGTCACCAGCCTCACTTTCTCCTCCAAAGCCATCTGGGTCCAGTGGCCAGATCAGGATGACTGAAGATGGCCCAGGATGCAGTGGGAGACCTTGGCCTTTTTAAGCTAAGGTCTTTCCAGGTTCTCACTTTGACTGAGGCAACACCCATTCAGTAATTAAGAAATGAGCCAAGGAATGGCCTCCTTTACCTAGTCAAAAAAATAAAATCAACCTTAGAGGGGAAGACCCTCAGAGTTTCTGGCCAAAACAGAAACAATTACTATACACATGAACTTGGAGTCATTCTACTAAGTGGGCTTGGGCTGGGACCTATTGTTGGCCAATCAATGAGAGCCAGAGTGAACTGGGTTTAAGGAATGGGGTTTAAGAAATAAATCTAGCCAATGAACCCCAAGATATCTTGCTAGGTTTCAGCCATCAAAATTTACATTCCTTTGGGCAGAGCACCCACAGCTAAGGGTATGATACCCTATGTGGACAGAGGTAGAGGAAGGAGGGGAGGGAAGGGAAGGGTTCAGTGGCAAGATATGGATCAGGAGGACTGAGATTCAATTAGAATTGAAAGGAAGTCATCTAGCTCAACTCTTTTGCTTTACAGAGAAGGAAACTAAGGCCAAGGAGAGGTGGGTCATACAACTGCTAAGTAGCTAACTTATTCCTATACATCAAAGCCTTTGACTAAATCCATGCTCTTGCTCTGTCACCAGATAAAATGATGGAATTAGCATCCCAAAAGATCTTGCCAGGCTGAAATGGTAAACCAGAGGTAAGATTAAATGTAACTTTAAGTTTAAAATGCAATTTGATGTAATTAAAATGAAAATCAGGTCCTACACCTAGGTGCAAAAAAATCAACACTCCAGGGAGAGACAGAATGGATGGAGGAGATATTTTGTGATCATTTATGTAAAAAAGACTTAAGAAGTTTAGTTCTTATAGCAAGGTCAGACTATCCCTATGAGATAATGAGGGGTATTTACACTTGCTCCTAAAATAGCTAATACTTTCCTACACTCTTCCAACAGAGATGGGAGAGAGTTATTCATTTGCCACCTCCAGCAGTTGCTTAGCACAGGGCATAAAGTGAGTCTGTTGGCTTGCTTTAGGAATGTTTTCTAACTTAACCCTCTAAGGAAACCCAGGAGAATTCTGTGACATCTTTTCTTTCTAATGTCTGGGGAAAACAGGTTGTTATTTTGTTTTGGTTTGTTTTTTCCTCTACCTCTTCCCCCACACTCCAATTCTTCCTCTTTACTTGTTCCCTGTGTTTTTTTCCCCCACCCTGTGTGATATGCTTTTTAAAAATTAAATATTTTACTAAAAATATAATATCAAACATTCCTTCAGTCCTCCAGAGACTTGGGGGTCGGGGAAAGACTATATTTGCAGAATGTGGTGTTTGTTTTCTGGGTGAACCATATATATTGGTTTTGGCTTGTCAGGATCCCCATTCCAAGATCACCCCTCTCTTTTCACTCCTCTCTTGTTACTACTAGGAGACACCCTGTTTTCCCTCACTGAATCCTGGAAAGTAAACTGCGCCTTTGCTTGGCATAACAACAATCCTTTGAACTTACCCTCTGGATGAACTGTGCTGCAGCTAAATCACAGAATTGTTTCACACCAGCCCCAGATGGTCTCTGAGCTCAGACAACATCAGGAAGCCCTGCTATGAATCAAACTCCCTTCAATGTGGCTGTTACCCCCTCATTGCCATGGCTACAGCTCCCTGGTGTTTCTTTGTCTAGTTCTAGCCACTACTGATTTGGAGATGGGATACTATATGTATCGAGGCTGAACCTTGCTGCCATGGACACATGTATCTAGTCTCTCTCCTCTGATGGAATAAAGAATGCTTTTTGCTTATAACCATTGTTAGCTCTTTGGTTTTATTTTATTTTATTTTTCCCAGTTTAACAGTTGGTGTAAAACCTCTGTGGCACTTTGGTAATTTATTTTCTGGGTTTGACATGCTAAATGTTTTGCTTGGTTAAAAAGGAGAGTTCGGTTGGGGGAACATGAAGAAAAAATTACTTTTGTGTAAGAAACAAAGGATAATATATAATTTTTAAAATTATGTTTTATTAAATATAATAAGGGGGGCAGCTAGGTAGTGAAGTGGATAGAGTATCAAGCCTGGAGTCAGGAAGACTCATCTTTTTTAATTCAAACCTGGCCTCAGATACTTATTAGCTATGTGACCCTGGGCTTAACCCTGTTTGCCTTGGTTTCCTTTCGTAAAATGAGCTGGAGGAGGAAATGGCAAGCCACTCTAGTATTTTTGCCAAAGAAAACCCCAAATGGGTCAACAAAAAGTTAAACATAACTGCATAACTGAAAAACAACTGGACGACAACAAACACAATAGGGCTAACTACCCCCCCAAAAAAAAACACCTCAGTCATGGTTGGGCTGGGGCAGGGACAGGGGGCCCCCCTGGAGAAGAATAACTACCCCAGGTTCTTCATACTCTCTTGGTTCTCACTCCTAAACTACAGCTCACACACAACGTACACCTTTCCCTTTAGTCAGCAGTAGACACAATTAGCTCAAAGCAAAGTTTTTACTGAAATGCCATCACAAAACTAATAGTAAGAAGACATTCTCCCCATGAACCTGGGACCATCAATTCATAAATACTGTATGAGTGGGTATATGCATAGAGTACACTGGTAGTAGCAAAGGTTACATCTGTGGAGAATCCCCCGCCCCTGGCGAGTCAATCTCAGCTTGCTCCTATCCATTGCTTGACCCCCGACTGCCAGAGCTAATGTTTTTTTGGGGGTTTTTGCTGGGTTTTTTTTTGTTTTTGTGAGGCAATTGGGGTTAAGTGAGTTGCCCAGAGTCACATAACTAGGAAATATTATGTGTCTGAGGTCAGATTTGAACTCAGGGCCTCCTGAGGCCAGGGCCAGTGTTCTATCCACTTCGCCACCTAGCTGCCCCCTAACGTTCTCTTGAATTTATAGCCGACCCAGCTGCATTTCCATGATCGCTCTGAGTAGCGTCCATCAAAGGTGTCTCTGATTCTTAAGATGCTGGCTATAGTGTCTTCCATTGGTTGAATAGCTCCACTCCAAGATGTCACGACTGTTGGGGCGGTTGAGAGGGTTAGCAGGGATGGGAAGAAAGAGAGATTTCCCCTTCCCCCAGCTGCCCTCTGGTAGAGGGGGTATGGGGAAAGGCAAAGAAGGATGCCTTCTCAAGAGTTCTTCATAGCTGGCATTCCCCCTAGACTGCCAAAGCTCACAGCTTCATCCTGTCAGTCTTTAGACAGTCTTTGTACCTCATTATCACGCTTGTCTCAGTGACTTGCCTCTTCTGTGATTTAATAGATTTGGGGAGGGGCAGGGAGAGAAGAAATCAATTAATCAGGGGTTTCCTGACCAACTTCCCTGTTCAGCCTCTCACACACACATTTTAATTTTTTTTTTTGAATTATCAGACATCAGTATAACTAACTAAACTTATACCTTGATTTTTACTCCTTCTAAATCCCTATCAGGGATTTATTAATTGTCATTTTTTCTTTTTTTTTTTAACTTTTAAAAAATTTATTTTGATTTATCAACAATCACTTCCCTAAGCTTTTGAGTTTTAAATTTTTCTCCCCCTCCCTCCCTGAGACAGCACGCAATCTGATATAGGCTACACATATACGTTCCTTTTAACATATTTTCACATTAGTGATGTTGTAAGGAAGAATTAGAACCAATAGGAAGAGCCACCAGAAAGAGGAAAGAAAACAAAACAGAAGAAAAAAACAGCAAATGGTATGTTTTGATCTGCATTCAAACTCCATAGTTCTTTCTTTGGGTGTGGATAGCAGTTTTCCATCATGAGACCTTTGGAGATGTCTTAAATCCCTGTATTGCTGAGAAGGGCCAAGTCTATCAACATCAGTCATCACACAAGAGGCTGTTATTGTGTACAATGTTCTCTTGGTTCTGCTCACTTCACTCAGCATCAGAGCATACAAGTCTTTCCAGGTTTTTCTCAAGTCTGCCTGCTCATAATTTCTTATAGCACAATAATATTCCGTTACATTAAAATGCCACGACTTGTTCAGCCATTCCCCAATTGATGGGTATCCTCTCAATTTCCAGTTCTTTGCCACCACAAAAAGAGCTGCTATAAATACTTTTGTACATGTGGGTCTTTTTCACATTTGTATGATCTCTTTGGAATATAGCCCTAGAAGTGGTATTGCTGGGTCAAAGAGTATGCACATTTTTATAGCCCTTTGGGCATAGCCCCAAATTGTTCTCCAGAATGGTTGGATCATTTCACAACTCCACCAACAATGCATTAGCGTCCTAATTTGCCCACATCTTCTCCAACGTTTATCATTTTTCTGTTTTGTCATGTTGACCAATCTGATAGGGGTGATGTGGTACCTCAGAGTTATTTTGATTTACATTTCTCTAATCAATAGTGATTTAGAGCATTTTTCATATGACTATAGATGGCTTTAATTTCTTCATCTGAGAACTGTCTGTTCATATCCTTTGACCATTTACTGATTAGGGAATGACTTGTATTCTTACAAATTTGATTTAATTCTCTATATAGTTTAGAAATGAGGCCCTTATCAGAGACACTGGTTGTAAAAATTCTTTCCAAATTTTCTACTTTCCTTCTAATCTTGGTTGCATTGGCTTTGTGCAAAAACTTTTCAATTTAATGTAATCAAAATTACCCATTTTGTATTTCGTAATGTTCTCTATCTCCTGTTTGGTAATGAATTCTGTTCTCCACAAATCTGACAGGTAAACTATTCCTTGCTCTCCCAGTTTGCTTATAGTATCAGCCTTTATAGCCAAATCATGCACCCATTTTGACTTTATTTTGGTATATGGTATGAGATTTTGGTCCATGTCTAGTTTCTGCCATACATTTTTCCAGTTTTCCCAGCAGTTTTTGTCAAATAGTGAGTTCTTATCCTAGAAGCTGGGGTCTTTGGATTTATCAAACAGTAGATTACTATAGTCATTGACTACTGTGTCTGGCATACCTGACCTATTCCACTGATCCATTTTCACCGGGTAATTGATCCTTGGTTGTAATCTAAGCTTCTTTTCCTTATGGAATATCATATTCCACACTCTATGATCTTTTAGTGTAGAAGCTGTAAGGTCCTGTGTAATCCTGACTGTGGTTCCACAATATTTAAATTGTTTCTTCCTAGCTGCCTGCAGTATTTTCCCTTTGAACTGGTAATTTTGGACTTTGGCTACTATATTCCCTGGCATTTTCAATTTGGGATCTCTTTCAGGAGGTGATTGGTGGATTCTTTCTATGGCTATTTTACCCTCTGGTTCTAGGACCTCAGGGCAGTTTTCCTTGATGAAATCCTGAAAGATGCTGTCCAGGCTCTTTTTCTTCATCATGATTTTCAGGTAGACCAATAATTTTTAAATTATCTCTTCCGGATCTATTTTCCAGGTCAGTTGTTTTACCAATGAGGTATTTTACATTTTCATCTATTTTTTTCATTCTTTTGTTTCTGTTTGACTGATTTTCACTCTCTCTTGGAGTTATTGACTTCCATTTGCCCCATTCTAATTTTTAACAAATTGTTTTCTTCTATTAGATTTTGTAGCTCCTTTTCCATTTGGCTAATTTTATTTTTTAAGGAATTCTTCTCCTTGGTGAGTTTTTGTGTCTCTCTTTTCTGTTTGGCCAATTCTGCTCTTTAAGGAGTTGTTTTCTTTAGTTAATTTCTGTCCTTCCTTTTCCAAGCTATTGACTCTCTTTTGCATACCTCTCATTTCTTTTCCCAATTTTTCTTCTGCCTCTCTTATTTGACTTTTAAAGTCCTTCTTGAGCTCTTCCAAGAAGGCTTTTTGGGCTTCTGACCAGTTCATATTCCCTTTTGAGTTTCCAGATGTGGGTTTGTTGACAATGTTGTCCTCTTCAGAATTTCTGCCTTGATCTTCACTGTTCCCATAATAAGAATCTATAGTACAGTTCTTTTTGCTCATGGTGTTTGCTTATTTTGTGACCATTAAAAAGATTGAGCTCTCTTGCTGGGGAGCAGGGGGCATTGATCCAAGCTTCTTCTGTTGGGAGCCCAAGGCCTGGTCACTGTGTGCTGGGGCCTCTGATGCTGGCAGCAACACTGGAACTCTAGGGGTAGGATTCTGTAGTCTGGCCCTTGAAGGTTGCCTGCTCACCTGGCCTTTCTTTTCACTTTCTTCAGCTCCTTTCAGGTGGATGTTTCAATGATGCAGGATGTTTCTCTGCTTGGGGCTTTCTGCCCTGGAGCCCCTCCCACAGTAGTTAATGCGTACTCCATTCCTATGATTTTGCTATACTTAAGCAAACATAACATAAAACAAATATGAACAAAACTATAAAAAGAAGAAAATGGAATATTTATTTATCTCATTTATGGATGGGAACAAATAGAAAGAATTATTAGGGAAAAGGCAGATTTGTTAACATTAACATAAATTTCTATGCATCAAAAACAATATAAAAGAAAAATAACAGAATGACCAAAAATTTTACTAGAAATATGACAGATTTAAAATTTGACATCTAAAATATATAAGGCATTATTAAGAAATAGCAGAGGCAGCATCCAGTCTATAATGGATATATGATCAAAGATTATAAACAGATAATTTAAATATATGTACAAACACAAGCATGTGTGTATATATGTTAGATACATATCTAATATATATTAGAAACTTTCCATTAAACATCATTGCAAGAAAAATTTATTTGTTTGATAACATATAAAGTATCAACAGTTTTAAAAG